ACGGAAAAAAAAAAAAAAAAAAAAAAAAGAAAAGTTTTTATGGTAAGGGAAGCTATTGAGCTCCCAGTAGGGGCCACAAGTTTTCCAAAATTGTTCATTTTGCTAGAAATCTCAAAACAGTATTACATGAAAAAAAGCAGCTAATTGTGAATTATCACAATTCAAGCAATCAAACAAGTGCTTTTCCTGGAAACAACCATCATGCTTTGGCGTGCAGAAGTGCTTTACAGGTACTGCCACTAATCATACAGAATATTGGTATGTGAATTGTAGCTACACATGCAAAGGCATGTAAATGCAGAAGAAATGGCTAGGGAACTATATATCACATATTTAATGGGAGCTATTTAATAGGATGCAGAAAAATTAGAATATGGGGAACTTTTGTGTTTTAAGTAAAATTTGAATGTTTTACAATGAACATCCATGTATTATTCAAGAAAAAAACTAAGAAAAATTAATACAAAAAGGTCTGGCAAGATACACAAAAGGGATTGACTATGATTATCTACTAGTGTAACTAGGGGTGATTTTTACTTCCCTTTTTTCACTTCTCTGGATTTTCTTGTTCTTCTACAACAAACATAAATTTCTTTATCAGACATATTTCTTTATATGTTTGAACATATAAACAAACATTTCTTTATACATTTATTAACAACAAATGTACATTTCTTCATACATTTATTAACAACAGTCATTTGTATTTATGAAAAAGGCTATCAAAAGCCTTGGAATTTATTTATAGACAGTATGGTGAATTGCTTAAAGTTTTACTAACCACAATTTACCCAACTCTGTCAGAGTATGGGTTTTAGATATTTAAGTCATATGTGCTACATAAGAGAGATTAGAATCACATTCTGACATCCTTAAAAAATAAAGGTATTCAAAGTAATTAAGTAAAAGAAAGTCAAAAATATGTTTCTTTATTATACTCAGTAAGAAGGACACTTTCATTTTTTGAAAAATAATAGAAATAGCATATAAAGCACAAAGTGCATAGTTACCTACTAAAATTGGTATCCTTTTTACGCTCTTCTTCCTTACTTAACATGGAAATGTAAGGAAAATGTTTCATTTTCACTGATCTGGACAACTAATAACATTTAACAATGTGTATAAAAGCTTCTTCAAGAGATAAAGACAATTTGTAAAGTAACTATGCTTTTTCACATTTACAAGACAGAATTTTGGTAATATAAGAATATTTTAAATTACACAATCACCACACAATTACTAATCTGATATCTAAATTAAATCACAGCACATTACATTTTTCAAATATACTATTGCAATAAATAAAAGATTAGAAAACAGGGCAGTAATACAGTTTCTTAAAGCAATCTGAAAGGAAATCTAATTTAATATCCTATTTAGTCACTTAGGTTCTCAGAAGATCCAAATACATTTTTTTCATTTGGCAGCTGGCTCATACAAGGATCGATCCCTTGACTGTGGTGTTATCAACACCATGCTGTACCCAGCTGAGCTAACTGGCCAGCCTGACCCAAATACTTTACATGAATTGCAGAATGCTGATTTAAGATGCCAGTCCTTTGATAAACGGGTGCTTTATTTTGGGATTAGAATAACTTTTAAACTGAAATACTACTACTCATTTTTTTCAGAAATGAAATATAGCTCTCCTCTTATGATATAGAAAGATCCACATAATCTTTCTGGTAATTGCCAACTTAACTAAAAAGACCTTTCTTTTTCGTTTTGGCTATTGATTTCTCACTGGTTTCAGCTAAGGTCTCATTTCCTTTGGCAAACCATTCAGGCAATTTTCTCTTTGAGGTTTCAGATGAAGTCTATAGGAAATAGAAAGAAAAAGAAATATTTGTACTACTGAGAATGTGTATCAGCTGCAAAAAAGTAACATAAGTTCCTGAATATACACCCACACTTTTTCCACTATCAAACCAAACAAAATAGTGACATCTACAGAACTTATTTCTGGGTTAAGAAGTAAATAAGTAAAAGAGAGATGAAATCACTGTATCATTTCTTTAGGCAATTACTTGCTATTCCACCATCTATTCTTACACACTCAAGTATAGACGCTCATTTGGTAAGAAATAAATTGAACATTATTTTAGATCTATGTTCCATGGTTTATTTACTTTGGGTTGACCAAAATGGTGAATTTAATGTTCTGAGGAAGGTATTGGCCTGTGTATGTATACACACACATATATACACACAGAAACAATTATATTAGGCATGTGAAAAAGAACATAACTTCAATGTCTATAATGGTAGATAGATTAGAAGAGTAGTCCAATCATCATCAGCTCCTTGCAGAGTGGCCAAGACATTGTAGACAACCCAAAAATATCCACTGAATAAATGTTTTAAAAAACGTTTCTTGGCCGGCCCGGTGGCGCACTGCTACAGTGCGCCGCTTGGGAGCGCAGTGGCGCTCCCGCCGAGGGTTCGGATCCCACATACAGACCAGTTCCCGCTCACTGGCTGAGCGAGGTGCGGGCGCAGCACCGAGGGTTGCGATCCCGTTGCCGGTCTCAATCCGGTACGGGTGCGACACTGAGGGTTGCGATCCGTTGCCGGACACGAAAAAAGACAAAAAGGAGAAAAAAAAAAAAAAAAGTTTCTTGTCTCATAGACTCCTTTGAGAATCTGTTGAAAACTACAGATCCACTTCCCAGAAAAAAAAGACAAACACACACATGCACAACACTCTGCACTCAATTTTAAGGGTTCATGTACCAAAAGCCTCTGAACCACAGGTTAAAAGTCCCTGGAAAAAAAATTTAAGAACACAGCTGCAGTGTTTGTATACTATAACATCTGCACATGACAAAACTAAAACAATTATAAGTAGATAAGTGCTCCATAAGCCTAAATTAGCATAAATTTCTGTCATGCCAGTTTGAGTACTAGATCCTCAGAATAACATGACAGAGAAATCAATTTAACATGAGTATACCTTGCATTCTAGCAGTTAATTTAGTTATTAGAAGTATTTGAAGGACATTATGATAAGGTTGCCTCATCTAAGTTAAAACATGTCTGTTAGTTAAGGTACAAAAGTATAATTTATTTCATTTCAAGAATGAAGGCTATATCTACATATTGTTTATCAACTGCCTGCTATGTTTGTTATATTTTCTCTGTTTAAAAAAGGTTTCAAGGGCTGGCCAGTTAGTTCAGTTGGTTAGAGTGAACCCAACACCAAGATCATGGGTTCGGATCCCATACAAGCCAGCTGCCAAAAAAAAAGAGAGGTGTCAAAATATTTAAGTGTAGGGAAAAAACAAAAGATCCTTGACAGAAGACTGTGAAACTTTATGTGTAAAAAAAAAGAAAAGGTAAAAACTAACTCCTCCCTAAAGCAGGCAAGAGAGCACGCCCAGGGTCTTAGGCAAGGAGATCTGGGCCACAGCTCCCTGCACTCAGAAGCAGCCAAGTGAGCAGGCTGAAAACACCACTTCCACGCAGGTGGCCCACCACAGTCACTGCCACAACTATGGCTGCCAAAAAAGCAGCTAAAAACCACAGCACCGGCAGCAACCACTGTACAGGTGGTCCACCGGACACTCAACTGCATTGAGACAAGGAGAGTTATCAGCAGACACCTGAAAAAGAGGACGTCTCTCTCCTCAAAGCCCACTCCAGAGTAATAGAAGAAGCAACTGTTATACCAGGTGACCAGACTTTAACGTAGAGATATGAGAAATATGAAAACTCAAGAAAATATGACACCACCAAAAGAATACAACAATTCTCAAATGCCAGACCCTATGGAGCAGGAAACACTTGAAATGACTGAAAAGGAATTCTATGCAACAATCTTAACAAAATTCACTGAGATATGAGGAGACTCAGTTAGACAACATAATAAAATGAAAAAAAAAAAAAATTCCAGGATATGAAACAGAAAATTTACAAAAAAATTAATACCTTAAAAAAGAGTGCAGCAGAACTCATGGAACTGAAAGATTCACTCAACAAAATAAAAAACACAACCAATAGCTTAAGCAGCAGGGTAGAACAAGCAGAAGAAAGAATTGGTGATCTTGAAAATATCTTTTTGAAATAACCCAGGGGGACAAAGAAAAAGGAAAAAAGAATTTTAAAAAATGAAGAAAATCTAAGAGAGCTAGCAGACAACCTAAGTGCACAAACATTCAAATCATGGGAGTTCCACATGGGGAGGAGAAAGGAAAAGGCATGAAAAACCTATTCAATGAAATAACAATGGAAAACTTGCCAGGTATAGGGGGAGACACAGATCTTCAGATCCAGAAGGCTCAAAGATCCCCAAACAAATTCCACCTAAAAAGATCCTCTCCAAGACACATTATAGTCAAACTGGCAAAGCTCAAAGACGAAGAGAGAATTTTAAAAGAAGCAAGAGAAAAGCATCCAGTCACCTATTAGGGAGCCCCTATCTTACTAACAGTAGACTTCTCAACAGAAACTGTACAGGCCAGAAGAAAATGGGATGATATATCCAAAATACTAAAAGAAAACTGCTAGCCAAGAATACTATACCCAGTAAGACTATCCTTCAGAAATGAGGGAGAAACAGTGTATTTTCCAGACAAACAAAAGCTGCAGGAGTTCACCACCACATGATCAGCCCTACAAGAAATCCTCAAGGAAGTCCTGCATCTGGAACCTGAAAAACAATCATCACTGCCATGAATACACAAGAAAGAACAAAACCCACTGACAGAACAAAAATGCAAATGGGCAAGAGAAAGAAACTAAATCTCACCACCAAAAAAACCATAGTTATCATGTAATTATGCCCCTACTTGATTGCTGATTTTAGCAATTTTGGTCTTCCCTCTTTTTTCTTGGTCAATCTAGATAAAGGTTTACAAATTTTGTTGATCTTTTTAAAGAATCAACTTTTGGTTTTGTTGATTTTCTCTACTGTTTTTTAATTCCCTATTTCATATATTTGTGTTGTAATCTTTGTTATTTCTTACTTACATTTGCTTTTGGTTTAGTTTGCTCTACTTTTTCTATTTTCTTAAGACAGATGTTTACATTACCAATTTGAGATTTTTCTTATTTTTAATATAGGTGTTTACAAGTATAAATTTTCCTCTAAGCACTGCATGAGCCCTGCATCCTATAAATTTTGATATTTTGTGCTTTGATCTTTATCTCAAAGTACTCTCCAGTTTCACTGTGATTTTTCTTTTTACCCATTGTTTATTTAGGAGACGTTGTTTATTTAGGAGAGTGCTGTTTAATTTCCACATATTTGTGAGTTTTCTAAATTTCCTTCGTTGTTTATTTAGGAGAGTGCTGATTAATTTCCACATATTTGTGAGTTTCCTAAATTTCCTTCTGTTATTGTGGTCAGAGAACAAATTTTCTATGATCTCGATCTTCTTTTTAAAAAAATGAAAAAAATTTTTAAAAGACGTTTATGAAAAGATTTCCATTATCTTTCAACTCCATTTTTCCATGAACCTTTTGAAGTACACTTGTGGGTGTATTTATAGATTTTTTTATGCAATTTATGTTGCTAAACTTAGATATGTAATTTCTGTTCTTGATTTCTTTTTAAGTGGACTTGTTGATTTGCTTAGAAATTGATTTGCTTTTGAAAAATTTATTCATCTTCTTCTCTTGAAATTAATTTGATATTCACAAGTTTTTGGAAGACTTTAGCAAGCTATTTCAAATAAGTGTAGAGATCATAAAATGAAATACGTAAATTTTCATAAGTTTTACATCTCCAGGTTCTGTGAAAATTTGAAGCCCTACTTTCTACAGAGTATTTTGTTATTCAGCTGTTATTCAGTTTATGTATTTGTTATTTGAACAAATAAATGTGCATATCCTTGCTTAAAAAAAAAGAAACAGAATAGAAAAACAAAAAAACTTTAAAAAATTTTTAAAAGGTAAAAACTGTTAGCTGTTCCAGCTTAAGTAAAAAATCCAGTGTAGAAGAAAGGGCTATTCACATTTTAGCGAAAACTAAAGAAAAGAACTGGCTAAATCAGTGACTTTGTTCCTACGTACCCACTTCCAAGCAGGGAAGAGAAAATGTGGAGAACAGATGAGATTTATATACCCTGTAATATACTATAATGTTTGATTTAGAAAGACTAAATATAAAGTGACACAGACAAAAGATATTTTAGTAGAGATAAAATAGACATAGTAATATTTATTCTTCCCAAAAGATCTTAATATCAAAATCCCTTTTAGTCATAGACAACTACAGTTGCTTGCAATTAAAAGTTTGAACTCCTGAGTACATTTAGAGGAAGAAACCAGTTAAGATTATGACAAGGCCAAAGAGTAAGACATCTGAACAGTAACAGAACAGAGGAAAAAACCCTAAGTCTTGTAGCCTAGTGCCATGGAATAAGCATGGGCGGAACTAGGTTTAGAATTCTAATTGAGCCACTTGCTGTGACCTTTGCATATTATTTATGCCTCAGTTTCTTCACACAGAAAATGGGAATAAAAGTAAATAAAATAATCGCTGAATTATCTGAATTACATATATTCTCATTTAACTATCAAAACATCCTGATTTATTCTTGGCACTCATTAATTGGTAGCTAATATAATTTAAAGTTCTTTATATATTTATATATTTACAGAGATTATGATTGTCAGTACTTATCCTGTAATTATAATAATGATCTTATTTCATTGAGAAAAGAGGGAAATGATTACTTACATTGAGTGTGTCTTTTGAGTTTCAACAGTAAGTATCTGAAGGGACCTTAACTATGAGATCTAAGTCACTTAACAGAAACAACGCCTTCCAGTGTCTATTTCCTTCATCAGTAGCAGACTAAAATTCCCAGCAATCATAATAAAAATGTAAGGGGCTATTTACATCTTTTTGATTCATCAAATTCGACTACCACACTACTACCATTAAATTGAGAATAGAAAACATTCATTCATTTGCTGATTATATGTGCACATATATGTGCAAACAAACAGAGAAATGGGTAAGTTTGATTTGCATGAATTTCATCTCCAAGATAAATCTAAATTTATTAGTTATCAAGCCTAATGTTCATATCATGAGAATAATTTTCTTAAATAAACTTTACCTGTGAATGAGAATCAGTAAATAAATCCTCTATTTCTGGATTGTTGAATGGCTCATTCCAAGAAGGTAGTTGTAGTGGATTTCTGTCACTTTCATCTTTTGATGAAAAATTACCAGGATGTTTTCCATCAACCTTTAAAATTTTTACAGAAAAATACTCATACCATGCACTATATTCTTAGTCAAAAAACAAAAAAAACCTATGCCTAAAAAAAAGCAAGCCTTTTAAGAAAATTCTTATTATTCTAAAGCACTGAATTTTAGTAATAATAATCACATTACCCATAAAGCATTCTTATATCTTAAAAGAGTTCATAAATAAGATTGTATATTTTAATTTATAACCAAACTCAGTGGCAAGGCAGAAAATATCATATACTCTCTCTCTTATGCAGTCAAGAAAAAAAAGAAGGAAAAAAAGTGATATAGGAGAGAGTATTGGGAAGATGGGTGAGCAGTGGCACAGTATATTTATAACCAAACTCAGTGGCAAGGCAGAAAATATCATATACTCTCTCTCTTATGCAGTCAAGAAAAATAAGAAGGAAAAAAAGTGATATAGGAGAGAGTATTGGGAAGATGGGTGAGCAGTGGCACAGTATTTTAATCGTTCTAAATCCCAGCATTAAAACAGATAGAACTAGACGGCAAAACCAAAGATCCATCACCTACATTTACAAGTAAACTAAATTTAAAGGTATCCTCAGGAAATCCAAACAATAAGCATTTAAAGACAAATCAGCAACAGCCATGATAGACCTAAATGGTAACAGCATCCATGTGGGAGAAAGCAGAGGCAAGCAGTGAGGTGTCTAAGAACAGAGGAATCCCAAAATAGCCCACATGTACACACTGGAAAGCACGATGGATTAATCTGATAACAGCATCTGAGAATGGGAGGGCTTTTGTCCAACCCAATAGCAGCTGAGTATAAGGAGTCCATGGTGGTCTCTTAAGTGGCTAGAGCAGCTGTCTCCTGTGAACTCTGGAACCAGCCTAGGCTACCTTCCAGAAGAAGTCCCCACACTCAGGAGAAACTGCTGGGGTTAAATCAAAAGCAAATAGGACAGGTACAACAGAAACAAAGCCCAAGTAAAAATGGAAGAGTACAAGGGTACTTCAAAAAGTTCATGGAAAGATTCACATTATCTTTTCATTTATTTTTCCATGAACTTTTTCAAGTACCCTTGTATATCTCATAAACCAAGTTTCCATATTTCAAACATTACACAAAAATATTAGAGAGAGTTACGTGAAATTGGAGAAGCTATCTTGAACCATGCCTTCTTTTGAAAGTACAAAAAAACTAATTTCACATGAAAATTAGCAACAGGAAAGCATCAAGGTCAAATCTCAGATACCAGAAATACTTGTTTAGATACAGAATAAATTTGTAACCTTTCAAAATGAACTGTAAAACAAACATTAAGAAAAAATCAGAAATTTTTTAAAAATTAAACTACACGGAACACAGTAATAAATGCAAGAGGTTATATTCAAAGAGAAATAGAAGGTGAAAAAGAAGGCAAAAAATTTTAATTAAAGAGAAATGAAGAAATAAAAAGAATTCATGAAAAGTGGCAAATACTGAAGCTACTAGGTAAAGAAGATTCAAGATACAGATAAAAGTCCCTAAAGAAGAAATACAAAGCAATGGAACAAAATATTAAAAAGTTTAAAAAAAACTTTCTTGAAATAAAATTTTTAAAAAACTATAATTTAAGAAAACTCTCTAGAAACTAAAAAGAAAAAAAAAATGATATAATTAAAGAACCCACTGTGTATCTTTGTACACTGAATCAGAACTATCAATGCCAAGACATAATCTTCCTCCATTAAACAAAAGCATGATTGAGCTTCTACCTTAATAAGCAAACACAAGAGATGTAAACATAATAATGCATTAACTAATACAAAATTTTTTTCTAATGACATTATTCTTTATCAGATGCCTCATAATTAAAAAATGAAATAGACCAAGGGGTATAACTTAAGTCAGTAGAAAAGAGAACCTAAGAAAGATTCTGAAACTAGGTCTCCAACAGACTGCAATAATCAGAGCAGCTTTCTATACCGGGAGAATGATGAAGAAAAGATGCTTTGGATGGCTTGCTCACTCTTAATCTATTCCCCAGCCCCAATACCCTTGTTCCCTAAAAAGGGGCTAAATTAGGTATTTCTTTTAATATCCAGCAGGCTTAGTATGATTTCCTCCGACTCACCCACCAAAAAATCTCCCCACTCTCTTGCTGACATTTGATGTTATTTCAATAGGGGAGAAGCAAAAATGCTAATATGTGGTTAAAATAATATTTTACTACACAAGGGCACTTCAAAAAGTTCATGGAAACATTTGTATTACCTTTTAATTCTATTTTTCCATGAACTTTTTGAAGTACCCTCATAAATGTGCTTCAATATTCAGGAAAAACACATTACACCTTTTCCTGTATTGATAGATAGAATGTGAGAAAAAATAAGAGGGTTTTAGGCATCTGTTGTAGATTACAGAAATAAAAGGCTGGGCATAGAAACTAAATTTCATTAATCCTACCTAAAATATATTTTATATATTATTAAATATATAATATGTCCTTCTCATAGCCAGTTCAATTATAAAAAATATAAAGATTTCCAACAAATTAAATTCTATTAGGTTATCCAGCATGACAAACCTAACTGAAGTACAGAATTTAAAAAGACCAGTTCCTCTTATTTTTAAGCTATTGAATAAAGTGGTAGTTTAATTGTTGGAAATCCTATAAGATTACCTTAGAACTAAAATGAAGTCCCCAATCCTCTAAAATAAACACTAACACCACCTACTGCCACACTAAATTCATCATTTAGGAACTAAAATAATTTTTTAGTTAATTATTAGTTTTCAAAAACTTTTATCATGGATCACGTAATTTTAGATCTGGAAGATGTTGAAGGTCACATTTTTAAATTTATGCAATCATTTAATAAAGTCATGTTATCAAAGAATAGTTATTCTATGATTACTATCTATTTAAATCACACCAAACACAAAGCAATAATTTTCAAAGCACTTGATTTTAATAAAACAAACCATCTAAAATAATACTAAATTTGTAGTCTTTCTCTGATCATGCAAAAAGCACACTGGCATATGCTCAGAACCATGAGCAACAATTATCCTTGTACCCCAGATATTCAATATAATAGTAGCAGAGCATGATGAATGACAGAATGATAAATAAACCATTTGGGGGATATTTATAATGGAATTTGTTTTCATTTCACTAACCACATAAACTGCTATATGCTTAAATCCATTAACTAAATCTCTGAAAGAAAAAAGAAGTTCTAGGCTATATAATCAATATGAGGTACAGGTAAAATTTAAGCTGTCATTACACACAGTAAGCTAAAAAATGGAACTATAACTCCCCTTTTACTGTCTTTTTAAAAAAAATCACTTTTATCAGATCATATTTGTGAAAAGCAAAGGAAATACAGCACACAAATAAAGAAGTAACCTTATATCAGAATGTATTAACAGTTCCAAAAATACAGCATTCTAGTATCAGAACATGCAAATTGAACAGATACTTTATGAAAGTTCTACATATAATTATCACCTTGGTAGTAGTGCTTACTTCTTCCTTGATTCTCTTAGAACTTGAACAGCTCTCTTCAGAGTTGGGGAAACATCTCTTTTTGTTGGAATCACTTGAAGTTTGGCATAACAGTCTGCTGTCATGATCATTTTTAAGGATCTCAATTGCCATGTTGATAAGATACCTTTCAATGTTTTCAGGAACTAACATTCTAATTTGTTCAATTTTATTCTTATCTGTAACAGATGAAAAAATCAATTTTAAAATAAAATTATGTAGTACATTTAAGGAAACCTATGAGCTGGAAATAGAGAAATATTTTGGAGACAGGAAGGAGGAAGGTGGCCAAAGAAAATTTTCCTCTTTCAAATGCCTATAGCCCTACAAAATGCAAACTGAGTAAAAACTCCCTTCCTGCATCACCTGAACCCCCTGCCTCCAAGACCCAAAGTCAGGTCAGTACTATTAACTCTGCATAAATTATGTTTCAAATTGTCTTTTGTGGGCTGCCCTAAGAATCAAACAACCATTCATAGAATTGTTTCTAAAAATAACTGTGCTTTAAATATCAAATATCACTTATAAATCAATTTTTTCTTAAAAATAATTTATTCTTAAAATAGAAGCTAATCACGCATGTAAACAAGATTCTAATAAAAAGGATCCTTTCAATGGATGTTAGAGCATAACAAAAGACGTCAATTACTTAAAATGCATATTTATTAACTAGATAAGCTTTCTGGGAAAAATATGTCTTATTTTCAGAATCAAGGAACTTTTAATTTTTGTAACTCAACAGAACTAATTCAGACTGTGTCAATCTCTTCACACCTAAAATTATATAGCAAACTCCTACAGACAGACTACTACTATGTTTCAAGCACTTCCCTTCAACATCAATTCATCTGCAATGCTCTAGAGTATGGTGAAACTAAGCAGCTTAGAACCTACTCACTGATCTACATGTAATTTAAAAACCTACCAAACATTTGACACCGAATTCAAATTAGTGATCAGACACCAAGTACTTTTAAGTGCTACCCTGAAAAGGTGTTGTTTAAATTATTAGTTTTTAGGTATATATTCTCCTTTCTTCCAAAGATCTTAGTTTGCTTACTCCAGGACTTCCCAAAACACTGCAGTTTAAAAAAAAAAAAAAAAAAAGGTATGAAGAGGAGCTTCTATTAGCTATTATACAGCTAATAGAAAATAGAATGGGTTATCTAACTACTTTAAAGTTTTTAAATGTAAGATTGGTGAAAAGATCACCTCTATATGTAATAAAATCAGAAATGTGACTATCATATCTATCAACCAAACTAAATTTTTATCTGTGCCAGAGGGATAAATACCTCATATGCTCACTCATATGTGGGAGCTAAGAGAGAAAGGAAGGCAGGAAAGAAAGACCACAGTAGTGCAATGTGACTATCATATCTATCAACCAAACTAAATTTTTATCTGTGCCAGAGGGATAAATACCTCATGTGCTCACTCATATGTGGGAGCTAAGAGAGAAAGGAAGGCAGGAAAGAAAGACCACAGTAGTGCTGTGATCCAGCAGAGGGAGGGAACATTCCTAGGGCTACAAATTGAAGTTGAGGGGAGAGGGGGTAGGGGTTGGGGGATAACTGGAAGAGGACAAAGGGTATAAAGCAATTTCTGGTAATGGGTATGTCTCCAATACGAATCTGGCCCCCACATCATGGGCAGGAGGAGGAACAATCAGCTTTGTATCTCATGAATATTCAAAATAAATAAGTAAATAAATAAAAATTAGATGAGAAAAAAAAATTTTTAATAAAAAAATAAAATAAAATTTTCTCTGTGCCTTGGTCATCGTACCGTTCTAATACCACTGAAATTCTACCAATTTTGCTACTACATTTTTTCAAGGCTGAGTATTCTGCTGTATATGTGTATCAGAATTTACTTTGAGTTCCCTTTCATTGGTCTTCAATTTTTCTTTGGGGGGAAAAATGTTCTGATGAACATCATATTACATATATCTTTCCATACTGCGAGATCCCTGGACGCAGGATTGCTAGTTCAAAGGATAAATACGTTTCAGGCCGAGCCCGTGGTGCACTCGGGACAGCGCGGCGCTGAGAGCGCAGCGACGCTCCCGCCACGGGTTTGAATCCTATATAGGAATGGCCGGTGAGCTCACTGGCTGAGTGTGGTGCAGACGACACCACACCAAGGGTTGTGATCCCCTTACCGGTCACGAAAAAAAAAGACAAAAAAAAAAAAAAGGATAAATACGTTTTATATACATTGCCAAACTACCTCTAGAACTGTGCTGTCCCACACAGTAACCACTAACCACATGTTGCTACTTGCATTGAAATGTAGTTGGTGTGGCTGATGAACTGAATTTTTAAGTTTAGGTGATTCTAATTAATATGTACCAAAGGCTTATTACAGGAAAAAGTATGTAAAATATCCCATTAATAATTTTTATATTGATTACATGTTAAAGTGATAAAATTTTGAATATATTAGGCTAATTATACTATTAAAGTTGCATCTGTTTACTTTTTTAATGTGGCTACTAGAAAATTTAAAATTGCATATGTGGCTCACCTTGTATTTCCACTGGATAGTGCTGCTCTAGAAAAACCATATAAATTTTTCCACACTCTAACCAACTAATACAACTACATTGCATTAAATTTATTTTCTTCTGTGAATATTTAAAAATTAAATAAACTATGTATCTTTTTTTTTTTAATACATATGTTTTCTCAATTCATAAATTCTCTACTTTTAGGTAAAGATTATGTCATAATAAAATAAAGGATATTTTTAAATTCAAGTTTGTGCAAAATTTAGATTTCAATCAAATTCTTCATTAAAACACTAAATTATGTGATATGGCTACAGTTAAAAGATAAAAATAACATATCTGAGTCATTAATGTAGTGTATATATATATCTTCATTTCTTGTTATTATTTATACCTCAACAATGTTTTCTACAGTAAGGGAACAAACAATATGTTACCAAGGAAAAACAAAAATCCAAAAGTAAAATCTCACATCAATAAATGATATCTCACAGACTATAACTGTATTATAAAAAGAAACGTAAGTTAGAGCACATCATTATCACAACCTTCTTAACTTCTTCTATTTTGGCTTTGAAAGTAGGCTACAAAAACATACTTTTTCATATTATTTGTGCAGCCTACATATGGTATATTGACAGAAAGATGAAATAAGTTTTAAGAAGTATACTTTAAAATATTCTCTATCGCTCTTTGCAATTTCACCTTAGTATTTGTCCCTGAATAAAAATTTATTTAATGCTATACTCTGTGTATGGTGGTAGAGACAAATGTTTTAGTCACTAATGATTACTAAATATTTTTCTCATCTCCCTGATATTTGTTGAATCAGGCTGTTCAATTATAAATAAGTAATTTTTCATTTTTATATATGCTGCTTGATTTTAATATACCTTAATTTAAAAAGTAATCTGACATCAGAAATTGAAATTGCTCAACTCAGAATATAGTACTGAGTATTATATATGGCAGAGGGTATTTAAAGACACTAAATATGAAGGTACTTCAAAAAGCTCATGGAAAGGTTTGTATTATCTTCTATTTTTCATGAATTTTTCTGAACTATTCTCAGATATAAAGATATTAAACTGAATATAATTAGTTTATTTTTCTCACCAAGTAAGAGTTTATAAACCTGAATCCTATATCAGGATTAGAAACTGCATATTTCTTTTAAGTTAGTTGGCAGTAAAACATGGTATAGTAAAAAGAAAAACTTGTTCAGTCATTAACCTTAGACATGACACTAAAACAATTTTGCAGCCCTCTAGACCTCACATTCCTATCTCTGAAACAAGGTGGGAATAGGAAAGGGAAAATTTAATGATTTCCACTTTCCTAAATCTACACTAAAACAATTTTGCAGCCCTCTAGACCTCACATTCCTGTCTCTGAAACAAGGTGGGAATAGGAAAGGGAAAATTTAATGATTTCCACTTTCCTAAATCTAAAGTTCCGTAACTTCATGACTACATGGTTTAGAAAGCAAATGAACAGCACCTCAGTTCTTCACCATTGCCAAATAAAATAGATGTTGTCAAAACTTGGCTGAATAACACAATCTTAAATCTTCCTCTACCCTTTTCCCCTGCCAATAATAAACTGAAGTTAGAACATCCATCTGATATTATTCAAGAATATTTGCCAAAGAATTCTTTGGTATACACACACACACAAGATCATTATAACCTGCCTGAATTCTTAAAGTTATATGTTTCTATCAAATACATTTTTTGAAAACTTTCTTCTTATGTACTTATTTATTAATTTCATATATTCTTAATTAGCTAATTAAAAGGATAGAGTATAAAAGTAATCATATTCAGAGGGTATTTTTAAGATACCATAAGATCTTACCATCTTCTTTAATAATCATCATCACATCAACCACCCCCACCACCATTTACTAACTACTATACTTACATACGACTTTCTGTGCAGTACCTAATTTATTTCTCACAATTCTATAAGAGAAGCAATATTATCCCTCCCTATTTTAAAGACGAGAAAACTGATGCTTAGGAAGATTAGGTAATTTGCCGAAGGTCATAAAGCTATGAAATGGTAGAGCCAAGATCTGAACACAGATCTGTCTGTTGCCATAGCCTTTGCTAACATTGTCTAGGCTAACACCATCTGTCAGTCTTCAGGATTTAAGGAAGGCAGCCAAATGATAGCAAATATGATTGCCAATAGAAAAAGAAAGAGGAAAAGACTGCACAAACTCTTTCAGAGAATATTGCATACTACGAAACATCTCATCAAAAGATATATATTTCTCTAAGACCTGAGAGGCAATAAATTTATAAATGAAAAAATAATTCCAACATATTAAAATCAAGCAGGCATTTGTCTTTGACTTTCCCCAGAACACTGTCTAATTTTGCATTGGAGAAAGAGAGGTTTGTACAGCCATAACTGTAATCCTACAAAGTACTTACTATTTTCCTCCCTCTGCCTTAATTTCTAGCAAAATTTCTGCTAGAAAAAAAAGCCAGGAGAGTTGGCTAGCTTTGTCATAATATGACTCACAGGTAAGTTTCCTTGGATATTTTACCACACAGTCCAAAATTTGGCACTCGGGCTTTCAAATTTAGAAACCAAATTTAACCTTAACACATCCGCATTAACCATGTTCACAAAATGCCAATTTATTAAATTACAATTATGATTTCACAATTATCACACAGATACATACTCAGATTAGCATGACTGGTGCATGCTTTCCATATAGACCCAGACAGATCTACATGAAAAATCAAGTTATAACCAGAAAGCTGGGAAGTGATACAGAAGCAGAATGATTCATTTGAAGTCTTCCTCAAATATGACCTTGACATAACTTATCAGATAACAGGCCCTAATACACTTGAAGTCTCACTGGCCACCACTCCTATCACTGGAACTTAAATGAGCACTACCCAAACTTGCCTCTGTCTCTCTCTTCCCTGTGCTTCCACTGTTGAGCAATGGGAGTAATAAAGGTGTTCATTCCTTAGACCTTCAGTCAAGTCTTGCTCAAGCCTAGAAATAATACTACCTTTTAAGGTGACTTTATTTTTGCTCTGATCAATTAAGTACATTATTGATTGTGCTTTCAAAGAGAGACCTTATTTCTTTTATTTCCAAATTCTTGGGTGGAACCTTATAGTTGTTCACAAGTGGGAAAGAATTTGAGGTAATTAAAGGTAATTACTCACACTGCAGCTTTGGAGATAAGTCTTTTTGTATGGCCACTGCTCTGTCCTAACTAAAAAAATTCATCAGATTTATTGAGTTATAACACCCCAAATTTATATTTGTACAATTAGAGGGGGAAATCTTCTAATGTACCTCACCTTTACTTCTGTATAAAATGTATCATTAACTTAATTTCTGCAGGACAAGCAAAGGGGCTTGATCTGCATGAGTACAGTTGAGGTCCTGCAGCAAGGTGACAAGAGGAAGTCCTCCACAAGGGGCCTACAGACCTTGGTCCATCCCTTCCATGTCACAGCGACTGATACCACTGACTATGAGGATTAGAAAAGCTACTCAAGTGAAGCCAATGACAAGGAATCAGAGCAGTTTAGGGAAAGTGGGAGTCAGTAAGCTAATGGGAGTGAATGTGAAGAAAAGTGTGTTTTTTGCAAGTGGAGAGGTAGAAATCAGAAAAGGGTGAAAGTGTACTGTTGTGGGATAGGTGGGAGAGTTCTAAGCTGAAGCTAAAAGGAAAATAAGAATTTCTCAGTATACTTTCCCCTGAGTGATAACGGGAAGAAAAATTATTTTACTAAAGCAATAAAAAGCATCTTAAAAGTAAGGTTTTCATAGTAACATAAAGGGTCAATGCTGTTAAACTGAAAAATAATTGCTTGTTTACTTCATCTGGGTTCAATGACTCAAGTCATTAAGGCTGTAGAGTAGGGCCATGCTATCACCTGAGTTGATGGGAGGGTTTCGGATAACATCAGCAATAATCTTCTGAACCTCTGGAGTCAGGCCTGCTCGCTCCACATCAAGGGGGTAGCCAGCTTTCACCGCTTGGGATAAGTGCATGCCAACTGTAGTGAGAGGCAGAATCCTGTTGTCAGCTATGCTCTTCTAGGGAAATAACAGCAAAAGAACCAGTGAGTTTAAGTTTCCACTGTACTTCATGGAAAGAAAAAGTCCAAAACCTGAGAAATAAACAATGGACTAAACCTTCACTTAAAATTTTTATTTTAACAATTTCTTTAAAACTACCCACATTATAGACCTCCACAGGTTCTACTTTTTATACTTCTTATATTTAATAAAACAAAATCACCCAGATTTAGGTAAGAATTCAATCCTTATCCCTCTCTAATTATTCACTCTAACAAGCTATTAGTGGCAGAGAGAAGTCATTCTGTGTAAGTCTAATAGCTGTCACAACCTTTTGAAAATATAATAAACTGTAATCCAATATTCTCTATACTTGAAATAACACATGGTGCTTTGGTTACGTGAATTTCCAAGAAAACAAATCCTAAAATGCTTAGTGATAACATAGGGCTCCGCATGCATTCTATAAAAGGTTCTTGAGAAGACTTTAATAGGTGTTTTAAATTGGCTCTATTTATGAAATAATAACTATAATTTAACAAGAGCTGCTATCATTTTCCTCCTATTCAATTTCACATGAATTGTGTTAAATTTAGCACAATGTTATATATTTATACAGCTTTTTAAACAAATGTGGCTCCAAATACATGTAAGATATGTAAGGTAAAACAGTCTTTTAAACAATCAGCTTAGTCACTAAGCTCTAATTTATTTTATGATACTTTTTCAATACATTTTTAAAGTCTAAATTTAGACTGCATTTGCACAAATGTTGATACTCTCACAGCATAGAGCATTAAAAGCAATATTTTCATCCTTCAAAAGTAGGTTTTAAATTACTTTCATTAAATGTCTACCCTTTTCTACTAGAAAGTGTGCACCATGTGTGCATAATATCAAGGTTACTTGATACTAGGCATCAAATTACCTCAAACTAATTGTATTATTGCTCCTGATTAATTCGTTCTTAGGCATGTTTAATTTTGTGGTTAACCGGCAAGACCATCTCAGACTCCCGGGAGGTACAGTTAATTATACCATCATATTACCCAATAAAATAAATCAAATAATACCAAGACACAAATGAAGATATACCATCCTTCATGAATATGTGATATAATACATGAAACTTCATATTATGGTTGAGTATTAGAATGCATGCACTTTGTTCAGAAAATCTGGAGCCCATACTAAATTTTCTTAGTAACTATATTCAGTTCTTCTATACATACATGGTCAAATTATGTATATATAGGCATAATTAACATGTACATATAAGTTACTATTTACATAAGAGACTGAACTTAAAATTACTATTTACCATGGGCTTTATTTCAAAAAGAATACAATGGAATTATCTGGGTTTTTTGGGTAACAGCCTTTGTACTTTAATCAAGGAATCTGACTATCTATTTAGGACATTTATTAAATGAGCAGGATAAACTACGGACTGTTTATTTTTATACTGGACCTTAACCTGTATAAAAGGTATGTAATGCAGTTGAGTGGATGGAAGTACAGAGAATAGGAATAGCAGGCATTGGACAGTTTAACCTGCTCCAAATCAAATTTAATCTCAGAGAGAAGACGAATTCAGATTAGTTAAACTGAGTGGGAAGCCTCATTCTGTCCTTATTCCATTAAGATATACTCTCCATTTTGTATTAAAAAAAAAACCAAAAAACAACAAACACTCAGCAGCCTTAAGAATTTATGTCAGAACTATTAAGAAACATTAAGAATGGCCCTTTTTTTTTTTTTTTTTTTTCTTTTTTAATTTAATCTCAGAGAGAAGACGAATTCAGATTAGTTAAACTGAGTGGGAAGCCTCATTCTGTCCTTATTCCATTAAGATATACTCTCCATTTTGTATTAAAAAAAAAACCAAAAAACAACAAACACTCAGCAGCCTTAAGAATTTATGTCAGAACTATTAAGAAACATTAAGAATGGCCTTTTTTTTTTTTTTTTTGTCCTTTTTGTGACCGGCTGCACTGCACTCAGCCAGTGAGCGCATCACACCGGCCATCTCTATATAGGATCCGAACCCGCAGCGGGAGCGCTGCTGTGCTTCCAGCGCCACACTCTCCCGAATGAAGAATGGCCATTTTTTATAGTCATTAGATTTTTTCAAAGAGCATCGGGCATGATTAAAAAACAAATAGTACTACAGGATATACAGTGAACAGCAAATTTTTTAAAACTTATTTCCAACTTTTTGGATATCTTTCCAGAGATATTATAAGTATTTTTTATACATATACAAGGATTTGTGAATATATAAGCATGCATATATGAGAGTACTTTAAAAAGTTCATGGAAAGATTTGTATTATCTTTCAATACTATTTTTCCATGAAGTTTTTGAAGTACCCATATATACACACATGCATTTACACTTTTTTCCCCATAGCATTTTGCACCTTCCTTTATTTTAACTTAATGTTATCTTGGAGATTATTTCTTAACAGTATATAATACTAATAGTTTTTTTTTAACGATTTGTCCCATTTTAAAAAAGAGTTCTAAAATATGGTTGCTGCAATATCTTTGAGCTATAATTGTGTTTATCAATACCCCTGATACAATCTCTGTAAGATAATCATGGTCAAACTGTATTTACTGTTGTTACTTAATTGACAGAGGAAGGCTTAACAGGAAAAGAAAATGACATTCTCTTTTAAAATTAAAGATAAAATGAGACTTACTGTAGGGTTAGAAGAAATTGATTCCACACCACAGCTTTAATATTGAAAAGCTAATAAAACACAAGTTTAAATAAACTAAAAAGTTCTTTGTAACTTGAAAGTAACACTTACCAAAGACATTTTCTTTTCTTGGAATAAAGAATAAGTGATGGCCACAGACTGTGAAAGTGAACATTTATTTTTCACCACCAGACTTTTCTGTTCTTCTTGAGGTTTTGTACTTGCAAAGAGGTCTGTCTATACAATTTTAAATGCAGCACAAATGATCAATAATATCCATATAATGACAGAGAGAATATAAATATGATCATTAGCCATTAGGAAAAAAATAAGTAAAATCTCTAAACAATAATCAAAGAATTCCCTTTTCATGGGGAGCTCAAAAAGTTGTTGAATTTTTTACATATTGATTTAGAAAGGTAAAATAATGCTAGACAGCATAAATTTTAATAAAATATTTGTAATAACAAATATTTCCCAATCTTCTCTTTAGCCAATAAGAAGAAATAAAAAAGCAACTATAATGTGATCCACTCTGTCTCTAAATTAGTTCCTTAATCCCCTGGAAGTGAATGTTGAATGAATAAACAATTAGTATTCAAATTTAGGTACTGTAATCACAAATTCTGCTGATATATCATAAGGAAATATATCACAACTATATTCACATAGTTTTATACATATATATACTCACATACGTACACACAATATATATATATATAATTTTAAAAGGTATCTCAACTGGAGCTCTAAACTTTAAGCATTACATAAAATGTTAAATACGGTTCCTTAAGAGACTTTGAAAAGAAAAAAATAGACAAGGATTGAAAAATGAGATTAATGAAGAAATAATGGAATTATTTTAGTCACCTGGTAGGGTGACTATGGTTAACAATAAGGTACTGTACATTTGAAGGTAAAGAGATAGACAACTATTTTTTTTTTTTTCCTTTTTTGTCTTTTTTTGTGACCGGCAACGGATTGCAACCCTCAGTGTTGCACCCGTACCGGACCGGGACCGGCAACGGGATCGCAACCCTCGGTGTTGCCCCCGCACCTCGCTCAGCCAGTGAGCGGCCGGTCTGTATGTGGGATCCGAACCCTTGGCGGGAG